CCGCGATCGCCAACTTCTCGGCGCTCGGGCTGGAGCCGGGGCGCGACGTGGACCTGGAGCAGCTGGAGCAGGAGGACTGCCTGGATGGCTGGGAGTTCAGCCAGGACGTCTACCTGTCCACCATCGTGACCGAGGTGGGTGTGTGAGCAACCCTCTATCCGTGGCAGTCCCCTTCGAGGCTCCCCCACGCTGGCTGTCCCACCACTGGGTTATGCTTCCAACATAGGAGTGCGGCCGAAGAGCACCGAACTCACGTTAAGCTCATTCGTGATCTTTCAGTCCGTATGGAGGGGAATGAGCAGGGAGTGTTATGGCCAACTGTCTTCTCCTTTTAGAGTTGCACAACAGTTGAAGTTGTTTCTCAAGAGCCATGCTGCCCTAGAGAGGCTCAGCCCCAGGCTCCCCAGATGTACAGGCTGAGTCAAGTTCTGTACAGGCAGGAGGGGTGTGTAGGGGACGCTGCTGAGCTCAAGTGCAGACACAAATGGGTAGGACTTCTGGAAGCATCCGGGGCCTACTGCTCTCACGTGCCTCGTGCCTACGGTGAAGCTTGGGCTCCAGTTTCTGCGGAAAGGAGCAGAGGTCCTCCTGATGCCTGCTGTGTGCAGGGATCAGAGGAGGCAATGACCATGGCCCCAAGGCACTTAAGAGACAGACACACCGAGACCCCTCTGAGCATAGGGCCCAGTGGTGGATGGGGGCTCCAGCTTATGCCATTAGCCCCTTAGCATCCTAAGTGATTTGGTGACAGGTTTTCCGAGTTTCAGAAGTCAGGCTACACACAGCTTCACCCCCTGCATTTCCTGCTTTGCCCTGGGTAAGGGCCAGGAGATGCTGGGTCAGGGCATGCGTCCTTCTGAGAAGGGTATCCTCACAGACTGGTTTCCTGCTATTGGTTGGGCAGGTCGGACTCCCCAGCTTCTGGACCCTCCTCTGCTCTGTGTTCCTCCCAAGAAAAACTTGAGAGTGGCCTCTGCTCTCCCCTTCCTTCAGCACAATGGGCAATAGGACAACCATCAGACACCACGGCTGGCTTTGAGCTGGGCACTAGGCTGCAGACATCTCAGAGGTCAGATGTCTAGGGGGCATACTGGCCATGTTACAGAGAGGGCTAACATTAATGGAGTTCTGGAGCCTGAATTCAAATCCTGACTGGCTTGCTCTGTGACCTGGGGCAGATATATTACCCTCTCTGTGGAGATAACAAGGTGAGGAAATACTCCAAGGAGGGGGGATAAAATCTGAGCAAAGTCTAGAAATATGAGCAGGACTTATCCAGGCAAAGAACGTGGCAGATCCTGGGATGGAATTCTATAGATCAGGGTGCCTGAAGCTCAGAGGATGGCAGGTGAGGCTAGAAACGCCTACAGAGGCCAGTTCCCGGTGGGCCTGGTAGGAACGCAGAGGAATCGACTTTATTCCAGGAACAGTGAGGGTTCTAAGCAAGGGGTAACATGGCCAGATTTGTGTTTTTACAAAGAGCTCACTCTAGCTGCTATAAAAAGCAAGAAGATTCGTGAGGAAGCTGTGGGAGTTGCTTTGGCAGAGACTGGTGGCCAGCCAGGAGTGGTGGCTGCAACATCTACAGGACCCACGGAAAGTGGGCTCAGCCTATGGGCTACCTCAGATTCCCACTGGCATTGGTGCCGTGCCTACCTTAGACCCTAAGGAGGCCATACTTCTTGGATCCCCTAACAGGGCCTCCTAGTGCTTGCCCATGCCCTGCCTACAGCCTGGCCCAGGGGCACCTAAGACTGGAGGCCAGTTCATCCCACCTCAGTTCCTGGAAGCGTCGTCAGCAGCTAAGCTACAGCTGGCCGAGCTGGCTGCTGTTTCCTCCCTGGCAGCTGTGTTGATCAGTCTCTTTTCCCTTCCTTGCTGGTTTTGTTCCCCCCAGGTGTCAGGGGTGGGTAGCTGCTGGCCTCCAAGTACATAGCTACGCTGTTGTGCCCTGCGTACAGAGAGGGGGCCTGTGGGATGCTCTTCATCTCTCTCTCACACACACACACACACACACACACACACACACCAGGATTTGGTTTTCCCCCTCCTTGCTTCCTTTTTGGGTGGTGGGAGTCAGGTAAAAGGCAAATGGGCACTGGTGGTTGGGAGGAAGGTGGCAGAAGCCCCAGGGTGGCGGCTGGGGGTGGTGGTGGCTCTCCCCAGAGAACTGGTGGCACAGGAGGAGTCTGGAGTCTGACTGCAGCGTCGGTTCTGACCCCACCGCTAACCACCTGGCCAACTTCAGCATGTTACATTCACTGCTCAGAGCCTCCTTTTCCTTATCTACAAAAGGGACACAGGTGTATGAAATGGTGCTCAACCTCGCTAATTGTTAGGGAAATACAGATGCAAATCAAAACCACAATGAGATATCATCTCACACCCACTAGGATGACTGTTATTTAAAACACACACACACACACACACACACACACACACACAGGAAAATAAGTGTTGGCAAGGATGTGGAGAAATCGGAGTCGTTGTGCACTGTAGTGGGAATGTAAAATGGTGCAGGCACTATGAAGAACAGCATAGCAGTTCTTCAAAAAATTAAAAATAGAATTAACCATATGATCCAACAAGACCACTTCTTGGTATATATACAAAATAATTGGAAGCAGAGTCTTAAAGAGATATCTGTACACCCATGTTCATAGCAGAATTATTCACAATAGCCAAAAATGGAAGTAACTCAAGTATCCGTCAGCGGATGAATGGGTAAATGAAATGTGGTATATACGTGCATCTGTCTTTGTGTGTATGTGTATATACGGTAGTTTCCTTCCTCCGGGGCTGTTTGTGAAGTCCAATTTATTCGTCCTGTGCAGTAACTAAGAATCACTTTTTATTAAACTTTATTTTGAAGTAATTTTTGATTTAGAGAAAAGTTGTGAAAATAGCACAGAGAATTCCCATATACCCTTCACCCAGGTTTCCCTAATGGTCACAAGTTATATAACCGTAATTTATTTATTAAAACCAGGAAATTAACATTGGTTACAATATTATTAACTAAATTTCAGACCTTGTTCTAATTTCACCAGTTTTTCCACGCGTGTCCTTTGTCTGTGTTAGGATCCGATCCAGGATTTTACATTGTATTTGGTTGTCATGTCTCCTTAGCCTCCTCCCATCTGTGATAGTTGCTCAGTCTTTCCTTACCTTGATCTTGACACTTGGTATGAGTCTCCTTGCTTTGGGATTTGTGTAACTTGTCTCACGATGAAATTGAGTTTGTGAGTTTTTGGCAAGAATACCATAGAAGTGATGTGTCCGCGGGGCATCCTACCAGCAGGTACATAGTATCGATATGGCTTATTACTGGTGATGTTAACCTTGATCACTTGTTTACGTTGGTGTCTGCTTGGTTTCTCCATTGTAAAGCCACTATTTTTCCCCCTTTAGCATTAATGAATATCTTGGGGGGAGATACTTTGAAGCTATATAAATATCCTGTTTCTCCAACTAAAACAACTATTTCTGTGGCATTTGCCTAGTGGTGATTTTTGCATCGTCTACACTCGTTCCAATTTATCAATTGGAATTCTGCAAAGAAGAGCTTCTTCTTCACTCCCATTTATCTATTTATACAATTATTACTTTATATCAGAACAGACTCACACATACTTACTTTGTTTCATGAGTTATAATCGAATACTATCCTTATTTATTCTGTTGCTTCAGTTGTGCCAGCATGAACCAAATCATGTTTCACTTTAAGGATAATGAATGTAAGAGTCAGGGCTGGGCCCTTCGTCTGTCTCTGGAGTCGGGGCTAGAGAAGCCTGTGCTTGGCCCAGGGAGGAGGAGTGCCAGCCACCGCAGAACAGGGGCAGGAGCAGGAACGAGTGGAATCTGGCCCAGCAGGCTGAGACTGACACTTCTGTTGGGGAAGGAAAGGACCCCAAACATCCCAGACCTGCTGATGATGGATGCTTCTCACTGAGACCTACTGCCGTGGGGGTATCAGCCTCCCTCAGTGTGGCTCTCTCTGTAGCCCTTCAGTGTGATGGACTCCACGGAGCAAAGGCCCTGTGTGTGAGGAAGCTCAGAAGCCTCCAGCCCTGAGGCTGAAGGAGCAGGGAGGGCAGCCCATTCCCTGCTCTCCAGGGGGCCTCGATTCATCTGAAGGGCCTCAGGCTGAGCAGTAGGGGTGAGCCTAGCTTCTGGCCAGGGTCTAAGCATGGGCTGGCCTCTGCCTCACACACGTCCTCGTTTCCCATGGAACATCAGGTAGTCTTGACCCCATTCAATCCATGGGCTTGGAAAACTATACAGTCACCTCTGAGTCAGGTACCACTAGGCCCTGTGCTCCAGAGGCCCTGAGAGAACCTGCCTTTGGTAAGGACTGGCCTTCTTTTTTTAGAGAGAGAGAGAGAGAGAGGAAAGGAGCAAGAGAGAAACATCGCTGTGAGAGAGAAACATTGATTGGTTGCCTCCCATATGTACCCAACAGGGGATTGAAACCTCAACCTAGATATGTGCCCTGACTGGGAATTGAACCCGCAACTGTTTTGGTGTATGGGATGACTCTGCACCCTACTGAGCCACTGCCCGGGGCAGGACCAACCCTCTGTGGCACACCACCAATGGCCTGAGGCAGGGTTGCTTCCTCACCAGACAAACCTTTAGCCTTTCTAGCAGCTGGGTGCTTCCTCTAGAAACCCGTGGGTAGAGCTGCTGGTAGTCATGCCTTTAAGCATGAAAGAATCTCCAGCAAAGGGCTTGGACCTTTGGAGGCACTAGCCTTGTGCATCTTTCCTGGGACCCGGGGTCAGGGCATGGATGGACAGAACAGGACACGCTGATTTCCCCCACACAGTCCAAAGTTATGAGGTTGAAACACAGTGGCCTCATCTCTGCTAAGATAACACTTATGGGAGGCATTGGGAGCAGCAAAGAAGGGAACAATTAGACAGACTGAGCCTGGCATCTATCTGATCACTCTGTGGGAGGGAGTGCATATGGCAGCACGCAGGCATGTGCCTCTCCTGGGGCTTGGCTGGGCCTGGCTGGGCTCTGGCGAAGTTGCAGAGTTTGAGCAGTAGGTAGGTTTAGGCTGTTTTCTTTCCATCAAACCTGTCGGCTTCCTTGGCATACTGCTGGCCAGGATGGGGACTGACAGCTT